GGTGATTCCCGGCACCGCCGAGACCAACCCACCTTCCTCTCTTCCCCCACAGGGCCGAGAAGACAGAAGTTTTGAGCGAGGACCTCCTGCAGGTAACGGCGCCGTCCCGCGCGGGCGCCCGCGGGCATCGGGCACCAACCGCCTGGCTGCGTGGGGCATTTCCACCCGCTGCCCTGCGGGGCCCTATCCCAAAGCATCCGGCATCTTCGTAGGTGGAAGTGAGGGGATCCTCGTGTCTCCAGGTCATCTGGGTGGGTTTGCAGCCAAAACAATATCCCATCCTTTCAACACGTGCATGTATATGTGTGCATATGTATGTATATACATATAATAATACATAATGTATGCATAATATATATGCATATATATGCGCATGCCTATGGGGTGCCGAGCAAGATGCCCAGGTAACACCTCCTGCCCCAAGGTTTTAAGCAGGTTGGGGGCAAGGAAGCCCGTTTGCAGAGCCAGCCTGGAACACCTGCTGGGATGCGGATCTTCCCGCAGAACAGAACCTGCTGCCCCTTGCCCAGCTCTCCAGGGAGCCGGGGCGGGATGTGTCCCGTGGCTCCCGGCTCCTGCAGGGAAGCTCACGCCTCCCAGCGGTGTTTGGCCGCGGGGGCAGCTGCCTTGGGCTCCGTGCTGAGCCGGGCCTGTGCCCCGCAGGTGGAGAAGCGGCTGGAGCTGGTGAAGCAGGTCTCGCACAGCACGCACAAGAAGCTGGCGGCATGTCTGCAGGGGCAGCAAGGCGTCGATGCCGACAAGCGCTCGGTAAGGGCGACCGGCGCCGCGGCGGGCGCACGGGGCCGTGGACCTGCTGGTTTTTCCCCATGATGGGATAGAGGGGAGGAGCGCGTGCCAGAATACGGGTGCCCACACTGGCGTATCCTGCTCCGTAGCGGCCAGGAGCACAGAATGGTTGAGATGCGCCTACAGGCACTGGCCACATGCATGTGTGCCCTTGCTGCACTCATGTAAAGGCGCTGGCCAGAGCAGCTGCTGTGTAAAGCAGGGTGCAGGGATCACAGCGCCTCAGCTGCCTCCAGGCACGTGGCGATACCCCTTCGCTGGGAGGAAATTTGCCCGTGTACAGCGGGAGCGGGCGGACGCGCGCGGGTGCCTGAGGGGCGCCGCTTGCCTTGCAGAAGAAGCTGCCCTTGACGACGCTGGCGCAGTGCCTCATGGAGGGGTCGGCCGTGCTGGGGGACGACTCGCTGCTGGGGTAAGCGGCACCTGGCATCCCCATGGGGTCCCCCGCCGCGCGCAGTGCGGCGCCCCCCCACCCTCGCCGCCTCTCTGTCCCCGGGCAGGAAGATGCTCAAGCTGTGCGGGGAGGCGGAGGACAAGCTGGCTCAGGAGCTCATCCACTTCGAGCTGCAGGTGGAGCGGGACGTCATTGAGCCGCTCTTCTTGCTGGCCGAGGTGGGTGGCGTGGCCGGGGCAGGGAGCGCGCGAGCGGCTGGGGCCCCTGGGCATCCCTGCCACCTCCGGGCGCTTCCCTGACATCCGGATGGACGGTTCTGCGGGGCTGTGGCCTCGTTCCCCCCGCCTCTCCCGGCGCCCCGTGCCGTGATCTCGGCTGTTTGGCCCCGGGTGCTCCGTGCTGCTTCCTCGCTCTGCGTTCGGCCGCTCCGCGATGAGCGAGCAGGGCCTGAGGCCCCGAGCTGCATCCACCGCCGCTGCAGCCTGGTGCTGCGGTCCCGCAAAGCCCCTCGGGGGCTCGCGCCGCCTTCCCCAGCACATTGGGCTTTTTTTGCATGCAAAGGGTCTGTTTTTGCTCGGTGCGCCGTGCGAGTTGGTACATTGTAGGCTGGGAAGTGGAGGAGGACAGAACTATCCTGGCGTGGGAACCATATTCCTATTTAAGGAGTCATGTCCTTATCTGACCTAGTTCCACAAATGCCAAATTTGTAGGTAGTTCAGGCTTAATATATAATGTATGACCCTTTTTTTTTTTTTAACGTGTTGCTGTGGCCTCAAAACTTCCTGGGACCTGCTGCCCACACAAGTTTTCCCCAAGGAGCAAGGGCTCCTATCTCTTCTTCCGCCCTGTGCAGGTGGAAATCCCCAACATCCAAAAGCAGCGGAAGCACTTGGCAAAGCTGGTCCTGGACATGGACTCATCTAGGACAAGGTAGGAGGCCCCAGCCTCTCTTTTCCATCCTGGCAAATACTCTCACAGGAGTAAAAAGCCGGGGGGAGGGAGGCTGATGTGGCCGCCTCCGTCCGCAGGTGGCAGCAGTCGGCCAAGTCGTCGGGTTCATCCACCAACCTGCAGCCGTCAGGGGCCAAAGCGGATGCTCTCAGGGAAGAGATGGAGGAGGCAGCGAACAGAGTGGAGATTTGCAGGGTACCGGGGCGCTCTCTCTTCTCTCGTGGTGTTTGGGCTGGTGGGACCCACGTGCCGCGATGGCTGCGGACGGAGCCACCTCCTCCCCACCAGAAAACGCGATAAATCGCTGCATATCCCCTCAATCCGCTCGGCAGCCGCGCGCCGGCGCTGTGCGGGCCCTGTGCTGTGGTGCGTGTGTGCCGCTTGGTTTGCCGTGCCCTGCCACGCTTTTAATGAGCCGCTCACACCCCGGGAGTGCGGGCAGAGGCAAAAGAGGGGCCGGGGCTGGCTTCGATTCGCGGCAGTGCCACGTGGTAGAGGCTGCAGGGGCGCGTGGCTGGGGGGGCCGTCCTTGCGAAGCCTCCAGGGCACAAACGCTGCCGCGTGGCCATCACCACCTCTCACCCCCGGCAGGACCAGCTCTCCGCCGACATGTACAGTTTTGTGGCCAAAGAAATCGACTATGCAAACTACTTCCAAACGGTGAGTGCCGCCCGCCTGGCTCCATCCGCCGCTGCCCCCCGGCCCCGCGCGGGCTGCGGTGGCACCCGGCACCCAACCCGCCCCGCGTTTTGTCACCCACAGCTGATCGAAGTGCAAGCCGAGTATCACCGCAAGTCGCTAGCGCTTCTGCAGAACGTGCTGCCGCAGATAAAAGCCCAGCAGGGTAAGTAGCAAAGCCAGGCTCCAAGGTTGCCCACAGGAGTTGTGCATCCGAATCCCCCATCTCTGAGAACCCAAGAGCATCTCTGAGCCCAAAGGAAAACCAGGGAGCTCCCGAGCAATCGCCCTTGTGGAATGATGCAAGCCATGGAGCAATGCAAGCCTGGGAGTGATGCTTTTCTACTGGATGCTGCTGCTGCTAAAGCTGGGCAGGAAGCAATCTTTTTTTTTTTTCTTTTTGAATTTTTTTTTTTACTTTTGCTTTTTGAGTCAAAGGACAGGCAAAAATAATGCCAGCATTTTCAAATGGCCACTCTCCTGGAAAGCGTTGATCAGACTCCTCGGAGCGTCCTGCGTGACGCCTGGAAAACCTTTCGCTTGGGTTCGATGTCTGCAGAGCACGGCTTTCCCAGGCACGCGGGGCAGAAATGTGGGGCTGGGGTGTTGCAGTGACATCTAAGCAGGATTCTCCTGATGAAGATTTCTGCACGGAGATGCTCGTGAAGTGAAACCCTGGGAGCAGACAGCTTGTTTCACCCTTCTTGCGAAACCTCCCCTGCAAGAGGCTCTCCACCGCCCTAGCAGCTCTGCAACCTCTGTCCTGAGGATTTGCAGTCCCTCTTTGGAGGATTTGAGGATTTGCAGTTTGCAAATAACCCTCAGAGAGTGTGGAGAAATCCCTGCAACATGCCCTGTGCAACCCCTGCAAGGACTCTCTCAATCCTGGCTTTTCCCTGTAGCTGGAAGCGCCCTGGGCCCCAGGCAGGCTTCTTTCCTGGCCCTTGCTCTCTGCGGGAAGATTTTTGGGGTGTTACTGCAGCAGGAGCTGCCTGGGCCATGCTGGCTGCGATAGCTTGGCTGGCGAGTGCCGAGTAGATGGTGCACATGGGGCTGGGGTGCTCGTGGTGTGAGAAGTGGGTGCGGGAAGTGGGATGCTGGAGGTGGAAGCACCTGGGGGTGTTCTGGGAACGGGAGGAGAACGGGCACATCCACGGGGCGCCTGCTCAGTGGCCGTCCCTCTGACTCTGCCCTTCCCATCGCAGAGGCTTGGATCGAGAAACCCTCCTTCGGGAAGCCGCTGGAGGAGCACCTGGCCGTGAGCGGGCGGGAGATCGCCTTCCCCGTGGAGGCGTGTGTCACCATGCTGCTCGAGTGCGGCATGCAGGAGGAGGTGAGGCCGGGACCGCCCTGCTGCCGCTGCCCGCGGGCCGCGCGAGGCGCCGTGCGGAGCCTTCTGGCAGCCCCGCGTTCGGGTGATGCCGGATGCCCAGCGCAGCCGCCCTGGGGTGCGGATTCCCCCGGGCCGACGCGCGGTGTCTCGTCAAGGGTCTGTTCCGTGTGGCTCCCTCCGCCTCGAAGCTGAAGAAGCTCAAGGCTGCCCTCGACTGCTGCGTCGTGGACGTGCAGGAGTACTCGGCGGACCCACACGCCATTGCAGGTAACGTCTCCAATGGGGCAGTTCCCTGCGTTGCACCCTACCCCTTGCAGGCTTGAACCTGCAAGCACTGGCCTGGCCCTGCTAGGCTGCTTCCCTGCGACCGGGAAATCCCATCACATCTTAAAGCAGCTGGAGAGTTTCCAGAGAAACTTTTACTGTGCTGGAAAACCTTGGCAAGTGGAAAGCAAAACCCGTTGCAAATACTTGTGGATGTTGATGTGACGGCAAGAGCAGGACGCAGCGAGGTGCTCCCTGCCGCTGCATCCAATGCGCCGGGTTCATTTCTTGGCCTGGAGGCACCAGGAGCTGTTAGCAAGAGCCTGAAGTCTCCTGTCCAACTGTTTCAAACTTGGAGAACCAAAATGGATTGAGAAGGAAAGATTTTTCTATCTATTAATGCCCCCAAGTGGTTTAGTTTTGACAGTAGAGTGTGCAGAGCTGCGATGTTGGAGAATAGGAGCTAAATGGTGCACAAGGAAGCACCTGCCAGCAATGGACATGGGAAGGGAAGTTGCATCTTTTACCGTCAATGACAATGTGGATGAGGAGCAAAGGCAGCTGCAGCAAAGTCCCACACTGAGCTGGAGTGGAAATGGGCCCCTTCGCACTCGCCATGCACCAGGAAACGCAAAGGGCTTTTCTTCCCCGCCAAATCGCATGAGCCTGCGCCGCGGTGAAGCTCATGGCGCTTTCGGGGTGAGGAAGGCAAATGTGGTTTGAATCGTGGCCGCCCCGCTGCAGAGCCCTGTGCCACAGAGCGGCCGCGCTGGTCACCAGCTGTTGCCAGCTGTTTCACCCCGAGCTGCTGCGGAGGCCGCGCTGCAGCCGTGCACGGCCGCTCGTCCTGCGCTCCCCATCGCGCCGGGACCCAAACCTGGCCCTGTGGGGACAGTTAGCCACCACGGAGAGAAACGTCCTGGGAAGGCCCCAGGCAGGAAGGAGTTAATGCTGATGGAGGTAAAAGCGAGAGAGGGGAGAAAACAAAGGGCATTGGCAGGGCTGGAAGTGAAGTGGTCGCTGCGGATGACTTAGTGCTGCACCAGCTCTGGGGCAGAGCGGGGATGTTGAGGCTGCTTTGGGGGTGAGAGCGTCCAGAGCACAACATTCGGGTGCCAGTCTCCCCTCGCGCACTGCAGGGGCACTGAAGTCCTACCTGCGGGAGCTGCCGGAGCCCCTCATGACGTTCGAGCTCTACGACGAGTGGATCCAGGCCTCCAAGTGAGTCTGGGCATGAGGGGCAGCCCATGGGGGCGAGAGGGGCACCAGTGGCCGGGGGGATTGTGCCCATTTCGATGGGCTAGCAGTTGGGCTGTTGGCATGAAATGGATGGGATAAAGCTCAGATGGGGAGAAGGTATCTTCTCCTCCTTCCTGGAAGCAGTTCCAGCACTGTCTGAATATATATGTTTGTCCATATCCCCATCTCTCTGCTGCCTGATGAGGCCTTGCAGAGCTCATTGCATGCCAGGAACAGGGCTGCACCGAGGCTTTGCTGGGGCCCTGCAGCGAGGCAGGGCCGAGGTGCCGGTTCCATGGAGCAGAGTCCCTGAGGCTCAGGGAAAGTCCTGCACCCCCGGCTTTGCCTTGGGCGAATCCCCAAAATGCCATCATTTCCCGCTGCCTACAAGCGCCTGGAGCAGAGGCAAGGGCCCAGTGTCCTCCAGCTCGAACTGTCTCGTTTCCTCGCATTCTGGGCTGTTAATTTATTTATGTCATTGCGTAAGCTGGAAAAAGGAATCAGCTTGGCAGGGGGAACCGAACTGTGCCCTTCCCCAGGAGTGGCAAAGGAGGGCATCCCCCACAGGCAGCGCTGCTGCCACCGCTGGGCACTGCATGGCGGGACGGAGCCATGAAAATACTCCTATTTCCAGCAGCCCGAGTGCTCCTGCCAGCTCCTGTCCCTTTGCTGACAGCTGGCGCTCGGGAGCTGGCACTTGCTGCTCTGCTTGGAGGTGCTGGGTCTGGATGGGCCTTGTCTGGGTTCGGATTCAAAACCCAGAGAGGGGCATCTCGCTCCATAGGGATGGGTGGGTCGGAAAGCCTCGGTGAGCAGCTACGGCGTTAACCCTGTCGCCTGCCTCCTTCCTAGCATCCAGGAGCAGGACAAGAGGCTGCAGGCCCTCTGGAACGCCTGTGAGAAGCTGCCCAAGGCCAACTACAACAACATCAGGTGAGCGCCCGCATGCGGCACCTGAAACCACCCCCATGCCAGGGCGGGATTTGGGTCCTCTTGTCCCTGGTGGAGCTGGAAACCCAGGGGATGCAGCGGGACAGGTGCTGAGCCCCCTGGCGCAGGCGCGATGGAGCCGGGAGGGAGGTCCCCGGCCGTTCAGCGGATCTTGGCACTGCCTGCAGGGAGCCCGTCATGGTTGCATCTGGGCGCTCTCTTTCCAGGTACCTGATCAAATTCCTGGCACGGCTCACCGAGTACCAGGACATGAACAAAATGACGCCAAGCAACGTGGCCATCGTGCTGGGCCCCAACCTGCTGTGGCCACAGGCAGAAGGGTAACCCGGCGCCAGGGGCTCGCGCGGGGCCACCTCGTGCTCCCCTGGAGGGCTCGAGCAGGCCAAGGCGGAGGCTGGTGTAGGACCTGGCACGTCCCCATGGGGTTTGCAGGGAGGGAGGCAGCCCTTTTGGGGGGTGCTGAGCTCCTACAATGCCTGTCGCTGCTGCTGGCAGCAGGGGCTGTTCGGCAGCCTTAAAAAGCTGCAGTTTAGCATCAAGCAGCTGTGAAACCTCTCCACAAATGCACTGGGCACCCCAGCATCCTGGGAGCTGGGGCTCAGCTCTTTCCGGCATCCTTCAGGGGTGATCAGCATCCCCTGAGGAATGGCAGCACGGTCTGGAGCCGTGGCTGCTTCTGTCAGAGCCTCGTCGGGGCTAGCGGAGAGCTGCCGCGGGGGCGAGGGCGGCCGGGGTAGGACATCCCGTCGGGAGCATCGGGGAGGCCGAGTACGCGCTGAGCCACTGTCTTGCAGGAACATCACGGAGATGATGACGACGGTCTCCCTGCAGATCGTGGGCATTATCGAGCCCCTCATCCAACACGCCGACTGGTTCTTCCCTGGAGGTAAGGCCGGTGTCCCAAGTCCCGTTTTGGCCAGTAGCCCTGGCACGGGGCTTGTTGGGATGGGCATGTTGCCTGGCAGAGGCCACACTAAACTCGCTGCAGCAGTAGGGAATATGCCCAGCCCTGTGGCTCTCTGCCCCTGCCATCCCTGTTTCACCAAGTGCCACCTGCACCGTCTCTTTTTCCCAACCAGACATTGAGTTCAACGTGACGGGCAGCTACGGCAGCCCCATGCACATCAACCACAACGCCAACTACAGCTCCATGCCCTCCCCGGACATGGACCACGCGGACCGCAAGCAGCACGACCAGGCCCGGCGGCCCCTCAGCGTGGCCACGGACAACATGATGCTGGAGTTTTACAAGAAGGATGGGTAGGGCCTTTCCTAACCGGTGCTGGGGTTCGGAGTTTGGTGGGATGGGGGTGGTCACCGCATTGGGATCCCCAGGCGTCCTGCAAATGTGGCCGTGACCCTGTCCTCAGTGGGTTTGCACCCTGTGTGTGCTCTCATGCCTGCCATCCCCTGCCAGCATCCCCAAAAGGCACCTCCACTCTGGGCAACACTGTCCCCATCCCTGGAAAAGCCCCCTTCCCTCCAGGCTCCCGCTGAAACCTTGTCCTTGCAAGCTCTGGGCCCAATGATTTCTGCTCGCGTTTCTTTTCCACTAATAACTCTCCGTTTCTGTCCATGCAGCCTTAGGAAAATCCAAAGGTACAGTATCTCCATGGCAGCCCCGTGCGGGCTGGCTGGGGGTCCGGCCCGGCCGGCACCGATCCCGTCTGTCACCGTGTGGCAGCTGGGCAG